ACCCCTTACCCCTAAACCCTAAACTCTGGACCCTAAACCCTTAACCCTAAAACCCTAAACCCTAAACCCTAGACCCTGAACCCTGAACCCTAAACCCTAAACCCTAAACCCTAAAACCCCAAACCCTAAACCGGAATGCGCCTCGCTCCGGGCAGTTCGCAGCTCACGCCGCCCAAGCCAAAGCAGCCGCGCGCCCCGGAGGCGGGGGCTGAAGTTAGGGACCCCAAAAGGACATAAAGTTTAGGGTTTAGGGTTTAGGGTTGAGGGTTTCCCAAAAGGACATCAGCATTTTGATGGAAATCCCTACCTTATTGGGCGGTTTAGGGGTTAGGGGTTTAGGGGTTTCGGGTTTAAGGTTTAGGGCTTTTAGGGTTAGGGCTTCAGGATTTGGGGTTTAGAGGCTTAGGGGTTGAGGGTTCAGGGTTTAGGGGTGCAATGTTTGGGATTTATCTCTAAAGTTTAGGGCTTGGGTTGTAGGGTTTTTAGCTCTGGGGTTTCATTCCAAAGTTCAGGGTTTTGGGTTTTGACGGCGGGATTCGTGTCGATGTCCAGCCTTCAGGACCTGAGTTCTGAAGCTTCTGGTCTGCTGAGACCTTTAAACCCTAAACCCAAAACCCAAAACCCAATCTACGGTATATAAAGGGTTTAGGGTTTAGGGTTCAGGTTTCAGGGTCTAGGGTTTAGGGTTCAGGTTTCAGGGTCTAGGGTTTAGGGTTTAGGGTTTTAGGGTTTAGGGTTTAGGGTTCTTCTTGGATTGAAGAAGGGTTTTTGGAGCTCCGGCCTCCTGTGCTTCTTCCATAAAGTGTGGTCAGAAAGTATCCTGCACCGGGCTGCAATGTCAGGTGTAGGTGATGACTGCATGGATGGATCTATGTAGGTATCGATGTCTGCCGGTATCCTTGTATCCGTGTATCTATGCATCTACGTGTCTATGTATCTGTGCATGCTAAACCCTAAACCCTAAACCCTAAACCCTAAACCCTAAACCCTAAACCCTAAACCCTAACCCTACGCGTGCATGCAGAAGAAGCTTCCTAGGTCTCCGAATCGGCATCTAGCTCCAGCAGCAAGCGTCTCCGGACACAGCTGGAGGCCAATTCCGCACAACAAACACGGCTGAGGGGGTTTGGGTTTAGGGTTTAGGGTTTAGGGTTTAGGGTTTAGGGTTTGGGGGCCTAAACCTAAACCCAAATCTTGCGTTTCTTCAAGACTAGGAGTTGAAGTGCTACATCTCGAGCCCCCTACCAGAATCTTTCTTTAGGGGGCTCGGCTACGGGGGTCTATGCTGCTTTGGTTTTGGATGCTTTAGATGCGGTTGTTGTTGGGCTGGCTTCTGGGTTTCGTGCTTGGGCTGTAGGGAGTTTTGGACCCAAGATCCCCTAAACTCTAAACCCTAAACTCTAAACCCTAAACCCTAAACTCTAAACCCTAAACCCTAGACTCTAAACTCTAAACCCTAACCCTTAGGTCGAGGGTTTATGGGACTGTACCGCGCAGACGTTAGGGCGAAGAAGCGCCGGGATGAAGGTGCTGCTGAGTCTTCGGGTTTATTGTTTAGGGTTTGGGTTTAGGGTTTAGGGTTTAGGGTTTAGGGTTTAGGGTTTAGGGTTTAGGGTTTAGGGTTTAGGGTTTGGGGTTTAGGGTTTGGGGTTTGTGATTTGGGGTTTAGGGTTAGGCTTCAAGGGTAAGATATGGGGCTTGGTGTACGGGGTACAAGTGAGGTTAAGCCCCCACCCCCTTAACGTCCGCCATAGACAATACTGATAGTTGTCTTCGGCACCCTCCATACTCCCAGTATGCCTCCCCGTATGCCACCATCAGTCACTATCAGGTCACTATTCCTGGTGTGGGCCTACCCCTAAACCCTAAACCCTAACCCAAGGCCCACTGCTGCGGTCCAAGGTGTCGGGTTTTGGGACTGGGGGTGAAGCCTTCCACTCACCGCTCCTCAACCCTAAACTTTGGCGGGTTTTGTCCAATCACAGATCTCAAACGCTTAGCCATATAGCGTGTAGCATCTTCGGGCTTCATTTTGACGATGACTTTCATGACTTCATGTGCGGATGCAGCTTTTGAGGGTCAAGTGGATGGCCCTTAGTCGCCCTCTTCAACTTTCTTTGGTTGGGGGGTCGCTTGCTTCGATAGCTCTTAGGGCGGCCGAAGAACTCTTCAGCGGCCAGGTCCCCGAGAT